CCAAAAATTTTGGAGCAGCTTTCGCCTCCTACCATCCTATTTCAGTATATCCCCGTCATCTCACGAGTGTGGACCTGTCGCATCTTGCGGTCTTCGGCGTCAATATAGAAGAGGAAGGTGGTCGCTAGGTCATGGAAATACCTTAAACGGTCTTCTAATTCTATATCGGCCAATTGGGAGGACTGTACATCATGGGTTACCAACACGCAACTCGCGATATGGTGGCGTATTTGCGCATCGCATCGCCCATTATTCTGCTCCTCATATTTGTCGCCTCCTTCATTGCGAGCTCCATTGTTACGGCTAGAAATGCGAACAAGAACGCCAATGCCGAACATACCGGCCCCGGTGGGCGACCACTCCCCAAGCGGTCCCGGAGTACAATGACCGTGATCAAGGCACCGCAAAAGTTCTCAGAACGCACAAAACTGTTGTTCAAGTGGTTGTCTGTCGGCGTACTTCTGACAATCGCCGCGGATGGTGCCCTTAATGTGGCCCATGTGATGATTGCAAGATCGGAACACTGGTGGTGTGGCCAATCAGTGGTGGTAAGTCCTCTGCCTTGCCTCAGCTTTTAGTTCTGACCCAAGCTTGGGTTGGAACCTCAAGATACGGGAGGGACGCAGTCGCTAATGATCCTAGATCTATGTCGTGGGCTCATTCTTCGACTATGCGATCATACTCGTCTCTTTGTTGGATACAAACCCCTCTCCAACCTTCGCCCAATTTCTTCCATGGCTAGTGGCGATTCCGATTGAACTGGGTATCCTAGGCACCTCCCTCTCCATCTATTCCGACGTACACCGCGAACCTGTGGTTGGGAACCCTGTTGGTGGTCGTCTGAGACAAGGCATAACGCCGTGGGAGTTAGCGGAGGTAGTTCTGAACTGTGTCCGGGTACTGTTCCTCATGGCTATGGTCATGTCCTACATGTTCAATACGATCAACTTCAACTCCAAAAGGGCCCACGGCCACGTTAATGGGGTCAATGAGACCACGGGATTACTTAACGGTCACCACGCAGAAAATGGGAATGCCTACGGCTCAACGAATGGTCACGCGCAGGCTTCCAAGCCCGCCGATCCGTGGGTTCGCCCGACTACTGTTCCGTCGACTAGTTGGTGGGAGTATCTTAGCGGTTACTCACTATTCTTCCCATACCTATGGCCATCAAAATCTCGTCGGTTGCAGATAGTAGTGGTCATTTGCTTCTTGCTCATTGTACTGCAACGGATCGTCAATGTACTGGTTCCTTACCAGGCAGGTGTCATCACCAACATGCTCTCCAAACAAGATGGCGAATTTCGAGTTCCGTGGTTCAACATTTGCCTCTACATTCTCTACCGGTGGTTGCAGGGCAACCAGGGTCTCATCGGTTCCTTGCGGTCTAATCTATGGATACCTGTGAGCCAGTACTCCTATATGGAGCTCTCGACTGCGGCTTTCGAGCACGTACATGGACTGAGTCTCGATTTCCACCTTGGGAAAAAGACGGGTGAGGTGCTATCTGCCCTGAGCAAAGGTAGTTCGATCAACACATTTCTCGAACAAGTCACCTTTCAGGTCGTCCCTATGTTGGTTGACCTCTGTGTTGCGATCGTCTTCTTCCTTGTCTTCCTGGACGCTTATTATGCGCTCGTGGTGACTATCGTCACTTTCTGCTACCTCTACGTCACCGTGCGGATGGCACAATGGCGAGCGGAAATCCGCAGAGAGATGGTCAACAAGTCCCGGCAAGAAGACGCCGTTAAGTAAGTACTCGATATTACCGGTTGATACTCAATTTTGTGCAAAGCTTATAGTATGGCTAGGAATGATTCTATGGTCTCCTATGAAACCGTGAAATACTTCAATGCGGAGGACTATGAGTTTGGCAGATACAGAAATGCTGTGTCTGACTTCCAGAAGGCCGAATACCACGTTCTCTTCTCCCTCAATCTGCTGAATACATCGCAGAACACCGTTTTCATGCTAGGTTTGCTGATTGCATGCTTCATCGCGGCTTATCAGGTATCGTTAGGACAGCGGGATGTTGGTCAGTTTGTTTCACTCCTCACATACATGGCCCAATTGCAAGGGCCTTTGAACTTCTTTGGCACCTTCTACCGTTCCATCCAGTCCGCCATGATCAACTCAGAGCGGCTGTTGGAACTGTTCAGGGAACAGCCCACCGTGGTCGATCGACCCAGCGCCCAGGCCCTGCCAGTCTGCGAGGGTGATATCATGTTCGAAAACGTCGAGTTCTCATATGACACCCGGAAACCAGCCTTGAATGGGCTGACGTTCCGCTGCGAGCCCGGGACAACCACAGCTCTGGTGGGTGAGTCAGGCGGAGGAAAATCTACTGTTTTCCGTCTACTCTTCCGGTTCTATAACGCGACGAAGGGCCGTATTCGTGTAGATGGGCACGACGTGGAAAGTATCAAAATCGATTCGCTCCGAAAGCACATCGGAGTTGTGCCACAGGACACGGTGCTCTTCAACGAGACATTGATGTACAACTTGAAGTATGCCAATCAGGATGCGACGGATGAGGAGGTCTATGAAGCTTGCCGTGCTGCCAGCATCCACGACAAGATCTTGTCCTTCCCCGATGGATATAATACTAAGGTCGGTGAGCGCGGTCTCCGGCTCAGCGGCGGAGAGAAGCAGCGGGTTGCCATTGCTCGGACCATTCTCAAGAACCCGCGAATTATTCTTCTGGATGAAGCGACTGCTGCGCTGGACACAGAAACCGAGGAGCACATCCAGGGCGCGCTGTCAAGCCTTTCCCGTGGGCGGACGATGCTTGTCATTGCTCATCGACTGAGTACCATTACTACGGCGGACAGAATAGTAGTCTTGCATGAAGGCCGAGTGGCTGAAAGTGGTACTCACGATCAATTGCTGGCAATGAAAGGCCGGTATGCCAGCATGTGGCGTAAACAGATTCGTGCCCAGCGGGCCGCCGCGGAAGCCCAAGTGCTTCAAGATCGCGCTCAACGCTTGCGTAGCGCATCTACATCGGGTGCCGCCGATGATAGCTCCAGTCAGTCCGACGAGGACCGGAAACCGGCCAACAAGCCCGGTGACGATGGCCGCAAAGGACAGGAGACAGCTCGGTGAGCACTCGGTAGGTATAGCTAGCCAACTCCAGACGGAGACGCCTCTGCACCCGCGTTGAACGTTTGTGAATGACGGGGTGGGAGATATAGTATTTTATTGGGGTTGACAGAATCGCACGGGACCATCTCCCCCTTGTAAATGCTCCTTTAGGGGCAATTGCATTTCAAGCCACTCACGACTACATGACACATTGTTCACTTGTCATTTTATACCGAACATCAACCTCGCCCCCTTTTTCTTTTTCGGTAAGGGACGTACAAAATGGTTGGAACCGTGAATAAAATTCATTAGACCAGTTGCATTTGACACACGACATCTACGATACCGATCGATGGCATCCTTTAGTATTTAATTTCATAAGATTCTTTTGTGTATCTTCGTCGAACCTTGTAGTATAATAGAACCTATTTACATTGCTGCGCAGAACGTTTACTATTTGCGGGCGTTCCATTGGCCAATTGCCGCCAGGCCGGGTTTACATTGCCTGAGGCAGTCAACCTCCGGATTCTCGACTTCCCAAGCTCGGCTGCTCCGCTCTTCATTTCTTCAGACAACGGGTACTGCCAACTTCTTCGACTCGCCTCGAGAACCTCACAGGGTCGGAACACTTTACAGTCTTCTCGATACTGTATACTCACAGGGAAGGAAATAGAGACCTTTGCAGTGTTACACAACATCAAACGTCTAACAATGCATCCTCCGTCTCCCCAACTCCTCCGCGCCTTGCGCACCTCTATCTCCCCAAACTGCGGCGCCAGCGCAATCTGCACACAACTCGCATCTCGCTCAATCCCCCCTCTCGCTCGGATTACCTCCTCCCCCCTCACTTTCCACCGCTACAACAGCAACGATGCTCGTCCGACCCGGATGATCCCTCGCGCTCACAGCGCAAAGCCCTCCAGCCGAGACCGCGGCCCGCCGTCCAAGGAAGACACCCAGACGGACTTTGGTGCACTCAACGTGCTAGGCAATATCCCCGCCCCGACGACCGCTATCGACGCTACTCTAGATACGGGATTTCATCTAGACAATGGCGTCAAGATTACCGGTGGGAACGGAGTGTTCCTTGTTGGCGGAGAAGCTTTTGTCTGGCGTCCGTGGCAGGGTGCTGAAGCAGGGAAGAACAGTATGGTCAATCAGAAGGGCCAGTTTGAGGTTCCGGAGCATGCTTGGGGTATTTTGGATCTCGTTTGGCCTCGTCCGGGTATGTTTTTGCTTTTGTTTCTTCTCTTGGCTACGGGGGTAGTTGTGTGATAGCTTATGTTTTTGGAAATACGTGGCTAATCTGTGTCTCTTGATGGTGTCTAGATATGTTGATTATTGGTATGGGAGAGACTGTGTTTCCTCTGTCGCCGGAGACCAAGAGACATATCAATTCTCTGGGAGTTCGGGTGGAAGTGTTGGACACGAGGAATGCTGCTGCGCAGTTCAATTTGCTGGCTACGGAGCGAGGTGTGTCGGAGATTGCTGCTGCTATGATTCCGATCGGTTGGAAGGGGAGGTAGAGTTGTTTTTTGAGCTGGTGTCTGGGCGGTCATATTAGGGGTTGTTGGACCCTGAACACTCGGGGGCTACCCGGTGGCTCGCTGTGATATTTGGGGCTACCGTTGTGAATGTTGTTATTATCTTGAGGGAGTCCTCTCCCTTTTAGAATGTCCCACCCACTCTTGTATGTATGTATAATAGGTAATGAGATTCACTGTCATATTAGCCTAGTGATTATGGTCTAGTGCCGTATAGCATCACTAGTGTCAGAATCCATGTGACGTCGACGGCGATCCCCGGACGGCGCGATACCCGAAACAGCAAGATAGTGACCTGGACTAATCGGGGGTTAGCTCAGGCCAATAAGTGCAACCCCGGACGATCTTCCCGCCTGTTGCTCACCTCCTTCTGTCCAACCTCCCATCTCTCCTCCCATGTACTATTCTTCCCCATTCATCTGATTCTTCCTCCATCCATTCTTAGAGGGCCTCTCACAACACTATGGCGCGTGAAGAGCCTCTCTTTACCCAGCGCCCCTCGTCCGACCATTCCTCCATTCGGAATGCCGAGGAGGAGGACGCCCTGCTAACCGGGATCCGCACCGACCGTGACCGACGCCGCAGATGGAGCTTCTGGAAAGAGCTCGGCCTCTTCACCTGGGCCCTCATTGCTACAGTAGCTGTCATCGTACTTTCCGTCGTTTACCAACATGAATCCAGTCGAGGTCCAGATCGCACCAAAGATCCCTGGACGAAGCCCTCTGGCAAACGGAACCTTATCTTCATGGTGTCCGACGGCATGGGCCCCGCTAGTCTGTCCATGACCAGGAGCTACAAACAACTCACACAAGGACTCCCCGCTGACGACGTCCTTGTCCTGGACAAGCACTTTGTCGGTACCTCTCGTACTCGATCTAGCTCCAGCCTTGTGACGGATTCCGCGGCCGGTGCGACGGCATTCTCGTGTGGTCATAAGAGCTACAACGGCGCCATCTCCGTGCTTCCTGACCATTCGCCGTGTGGCACCGTCCTCGAGGCTGCCTCCTTGGCTGGTTACAAGACGGGGCTGGTAGTGACGACTCGTATCACCGATGCGACACCAGCTTGCTTTGCTTCACATGTGAATCTCCGACAGTACGAAGACCGGATTGCGGAACAGGAAATTGGGGAGCACCCGCTGGGCCGGGTGGTGGATCTTATCATGGGTGGAGGTCGGTGTCACTTCCTGCCCAACTCGACCGATGGAAGCTGTCGGGGCGATGACCGTGACCTTGTCGAGCTGGCGAAGGAGGGTGGATACCATTACATGGATGATCGAGCCGGGTTCGACTCTCTAAATGGCGGCACTGAAGGCAAACTGCCACTACTGGGGCTCTTTGCGGAGAAAGACATCCCCTTTGAGATCGACCGCCGCAGCCAGAATGACGTGTACCCCTCTCTTGAGGAGATGGCTCGCACCGCCTTGACGATTCTCAGTCAGGCTACCGCCGACAGTGAGCAGGGATTCTTCCTCATGATTGAGGGCTCGCGCATCGACCATGCTGGCCATGGAAACGACCCAGCTGCACAAGTCAATGAAGTCTTGGCATACGACAAGGCCTTTGCTGCCGTGCTGGAGTTCCTAGAGCAGGACTCGACTCCGGGAGTGGTCGTGAGCACCTCCGACCACGAGACTGGAGGCTTGTCAGTCGCACGTCAGCTACAGCCCGAATACCCCGACTACAAATGGCTTCCTGGTGTCCTCGCCAATGCCAGTCACTCTTCGGAGTACGTCAACAAGAAGCTAGTGAACTATCTCGCCACCGAAACAGACGAAGATAAACAGCACAAGTTCGTCCGCAGCCTCATTGAGAACGACCTTGGCATCACAGATGTCACGGACGAGGAGATCAACGCCGTTCTCGATCCCAATTACCCATATGACCCCCAGTACGTCTTTGCGGATATTGTCAGCCGCAGGGCTCAAATCGGGTGGTCAACCCACGGACATTCCGGTATGATACCATCATCCAAACAACTTCCATCAATCACGAACTAACTTCATCAGGTGTTGATGTCAACATCTACGCCTCTGGAAAACTCGCGTTTCCCCTGGCGGGCAACCACGAGAACACCGAAGTCGGCGACTTCCTGGCCGACTTCCTAGACCTGGACCTCAAGAGCACGACCAAGAAGCTCCTTTCCTCCGACTACTGGACCATGTCTTCCGAAGATAGCCCCTTTGGCTGGCTCGGCGACCCTCTAGGCGAGGATGTCCGAACCGAAGGCTTAGACACGTACCACGGCGAGTTTCGCAAGCGCGGACTCTCCGAGCGAGGCTGCAGCTGTGGCGAGAGCCACTGAAGCTTAGACACTTGTCACGATTATTTCTATCACGTCTAAATCGTTAATCATGAATTATCCATCTTGCCATTTATACAGCAACTTTTGACAAACGATGGTTTTTAAATTAACCAATGTTTGCATGATACTTGGGTGAGGGTGTTTGGCGTTAACCACAACCACAATCAGTTTTATATGAATGATCAGAATGCTTTCCCTTAGCCTTTAATACATCACTTTCATCACTTCCGATAGCAAACCTCCGTATAATGCACATTACACGCATAACCACATAATTATTATACTACTATTTTTCTCATCACTCCCCAAATATCTCATATCATCCTACTTAGTAAAATCCCATCCATATCCGTGGACTCCGCCCCCCCGCCCAACAACACCTCAAAAACAATCCTCCCACCTCACCTCATCACATCATATCAAATCACCCCCACAACAAGCTCACATCATCTCCCCCCACCGGCCTATTCAATACAGCAATCAGTAGCTCTTCCTCCGCAATAATTGATACGAAATTAATTGATACAGCATTATCTCCCATGGCTAACTCCGCAGCAGCGGAAAGACATAGTGTTTACATCGGGGGTAGGGTGGATTATTCCGATGTAGATGGTACATTTCTATTGTGTTTTATCCTGGTTCAGTAGTATATTAGGTTTGATTCAGTTATATCAAAGTGATTCGTAGTTGATTGGTGGGTGATAAGTTGCTTAGGATGAGCGGGCAAATAGTAGCGGTAGGGTTGGTGATATTGAGAGTGCGTATTTGTATATTGTAAAGCCTTTTTTTACTGTCTTGATGGGAAAGAGGGCTGGGGGTTTCCGACGGAGAGGGTGTATGTATCGCCCGCGAAAGTTGCAGGCTCTCCTGCAGCTACTTGTACGTTGCAACTTCTTCTTCGGTATCATCCGGTAAAATAAAGGGATGTACATTAGTCCTATTTCGATATTCGCTTGTCTGTCAGACCAAATGAACCCATTGGTATTCAGTAATATACCATGCAAACACCAGACCAGGAAAAGAAAAATAATCACGTCCAACTACCGGGCACCTGATTACCCAGCGGAAAAGGGGTATTAGTATGTGTAGTCAAGTCATGTCCATGACAGTTAAAACGCAACCACCCAGGCGCAGTCATAAGAACCATAAAGACATCCAATGGGGGCCAAAAACATAAAGTACAAGATCCGATCAAAGACGGGCGTTCGGAGCGCCAGGTATAGAACAGTAAAGAGGATTAAGAATGATAACACAAGTCGTAAAGGAGGGGCATGCACCGAGAATCGAGCTATGTGAATAAGAATATCCAAGAAGTGAAGATGATGGTTGCTTGTCGAGTCTCCTTAGAGAGCGACCAGAACGACAACTGCGACCAAGGCAGCAAAGAATGAGCCTCTCATGACTCGCTCATTCTGGGAGGGGGCACCGCTCGTGTCGGTGCTACTGCCCTGGCTGAATCCAGAAGAGGTACTTGAGCTGCCACTAGTGGTGCTGCTGCTGCTGCTGCCTGGTACGTTTCCTGAACCTCCCTGGTTCTCAGGAACCGTGCCGTTAGTTCCAGAACTGCTGGAGTCGCTGGCACCGAGATCCATGTCGAGACCAGTGGCGCCAAAAGATGCAAGCACGGTGTCATTGTTGGTGATCTGAACCGATTGCTGTAGCCCGTCCTTGTTGGTGAACATGTACGACTTGTTTCCGTTCGAAACAGTGCCATTCGGGGCATCGTAGCACTCAACGGTGATGTCGCTGAACGTGGCATAGTAGTAACCCTTGTCTTTGATGTCCTGGCTGTCCCAATCGATTTCGCCACCAGCCCACTCAATGGTTCCGGGTGCATTGCTGGCTTGGCCGGCGGGCCACAGGGAAAGCTGCATTCGGGATGGGGACTGGGGGTATTGGTAGCGCTTGGCAGTTTCGTTCCAGGTCGATTCCTTGGTGAGAGTCCGCTTAACCTGACCATCCACAGACCAGGTAATCGCATCTTCCTTCCAGTCGATCTCATACTCATGCCAATCATCGAAGGTATCACTTCCGTTGACGGCATCCTTATCGCCGTTGTTGTCTGCACAAGGCACGTTAGCAGCAGGTTTCGGGAATTACATTCGGTACGATGTTAGGCTTACAGTTCAGAACACCCTGCCAGTAATAGTTGGTCTGGACATTCGCCAGATCCGCACCAATCCACTCAAAGTCGATCTCGTCCTTAACGTCTGAAAGCAGGATGAAAGCCGTGACGACACCGGCACCACGGCTGCTCTTGACTTTGCCGGAAATCTTGCCATACCAGACGTAGTGGTTGTTCGCAAAGAGGGTACCAACAGTGTTCTTGGGCATAGTGAGGAGAAGATTTCCATCGTCCAACTTGGGGTACCCGCTGTAGACCCAGTCGTATTCGGACGCATTTCCGAGGTATTTGGTGTTCAGCGCGGCACTATCGAGAGAGTCCCACTTGTAGGTCTTGCTCTGACACACGGGCTCACCAACGCAAGAGTCTAGAGAGTATGACGAAATGGGGTCGCAACCACCCAAGCAGTAAGCACCAGTACCGCACTGTCCATATTCTAAACGAGCATTAGCGGATGAGGTAATACCACATAGGGCTATATTTGAAAAGGGACCAACGCACGAGAGCAGCAAGGATACTCTTCGGGGCACTGAGAGCTGGTACTGCATGAAGGAGGGGACGAGGCAGCCCAGACGGAAGTGGCGGCCAACGAGGCCAAAAGAATGGAAGAAGTGTACCGCACCATTGTGGCGGACTGGGTTCAGTGAAACACCTGAGAGCTAGGAAGTAGATGCTTGTATAGCTAGACACTAGAGATTGGTCTGGAGACGTGCAAGACAACACTGCAGAGGGAAACCGTTAGTTTATAATAGTAATTAAGGCACAACATTCACTGGCTCTGATGTTGGCTGTGCCTGAGTGGCAAAGGAAAGTTAGGGCGTACCAAAATTCAGTCTTGGCCTTCTCCTTTACCGCAGTGAAGGATAAAGATACCGGTTTCTATATAAAGACGGCGATAGAATTGAGTGATGGGGAATCCAAGGACTATGCAAGTGGAATCCAATCAAAAGTTGCGCCGATAATGAGGGACCGCGGGAAATTCGGGAGGTAAGTATTCTAATCGCCGTATCACCGCCGAGGGAGAGATGGATAGAAAAAAGGATGAGGAGTACTGGGCAGGAGAAAGAGTGAAGAGAGCAGAGGAAGAAGAAGACAACCGGGGAAGAGATGTCGAGTAACGATAGAACGAGCCCGGAATTGTGCCACGAGTACAATGAGGAAGGAAGTCACCCAAATTGGGGAGGAGGAATAGGAGAAGTCATATACTATATAGCCTCTAGTACTTGCCTAGAAAGTTGGCGCTCTTCACTTTCTTTCTCTCTCCTCGTTGAGGAAGGAACGGTTCAATGCGAATGCGGTTCCGGTGGGACCTCGTAGCCCACCCGTCAGGTAATTTCACCTTGCTGGTAATGCACGGCCTCATACGGCGTATTCGGTTTCCAGCAGCAGCAGCACGAGAACCTTTCGAGAACGTTGTCTGTTCCCCCTCTTCCCTCCTCACGCAGACGGAGAGACATCCCGGGACTTTTCTATCCCTTTGTTTAGATTAGCTATCCGAGTAACTTGAGATGACCCAGCTGAATAGGATGCCCTCTGATGACATCTGGCATGTTGTTGGCCCGATGATCTGTTCGGTATCTCAGGGTCACTCAACTCACCTTCCCCCAGTAGTTACTGACCCTGCCTGATAAGAGCCCTCGGACCGTCCACAGCGAAAGGTAAAGTAAAAAGCGGTATTTACCATCACGGTACGGGAGAACTTTCCATGCAGGATCCGTCGTTCTTTCTGGATTGGGAAGCTTTCAATGGACGAATCCCTGATCTGCCCCAGGACCCCTACTAGTGCGCTAGTCTCGAAGCAGACCCTGCCCCACACCACCCAAAAGTCAATTCCTCCGTGGATTTCTGCTTTCTGCTTTCTGCTTTGTTTCTCTTACACAGCAAGTTCCTTATCGGCAGGCGCTGCTTCGGGCCACTAAGCACCCCGAGCTAGAAACTAGTAGATGAATTACTCGTCTAGCGCTGGCCTGTCTGTCCCTGACACTGCAACAAAACAGGGAAATCCTTGGGGTTGATCATGGAGAAGGGTGCGCTCATCCACATAAAACTAAAAAAACTCTCCCCTTTTTTTACCCTTTTTCAATCTTCCCCAGACCCAACCAAGGTGCTACTAAAACTCGTGCTCGCTTAACATCTTCAAGAGCAACCAAATATCCCGCAAAGCCTACTAGGCAGGTATCTACATAGCCCAAGTGTCCCCATCCCCTCCCCATGTGGTTCCCCCCTATGACTAAATCCACAACAAATAAACCCCGGTTGGTGCTCACTCGGTCACCCACAATGTCTCAAACCAAATGGGCCTTGTTCCTCGGAATCAAGTCAGCAAACGGAAAAGTCCTATCTACTAACTACCGGACTAGTTAGTTCTTGAGGAAAAAAAAGAAAAAAACAAGAAAAAGAAAAACTGGTTCGAGTTGACAGCCGGTCATTCCGCGCACCCAGATAAGAGATCCAAGACATGAAAATTCATCTAGTCGCGAACGGTCAAGTTTATTCGTCTGCCTAACTAGCTGACGATAATATTAGATCTCAAACTTACAGAGTACATATACATACATCACTTACACAGTATGTTCAAAACAGGAGAGCGAACAGGTCTCTTGACCAACAATGAATTACCGCAATCGTCCTTGGAAGCAGGGCTGGTTGTTACACCAACGGGGCGGCATCCTCACGTTGGCTGTGCGCGCGCATGCCGGATTATCTCATCGCCTTGATTTCTATAGACCTGCCCGAATCGGAGGGGAATTCATCAGATCAGGAATTCGGCGCGCGGCACACGACAGTCTCCCGTGGTTCATAGATAAATCACTAAGTAGCTAGCTCGTGGATTGTCTGCTCTGTCAGGGGGCCAAGCATTGGCATGAAGATATGAGCAAAATTCTGAAAAGGTAATAATACACTGTAAACAAAGAGGATAAAAAAAATGGAACTAAAACAATAATAAAATAGAAACCAGAAAACAAAGCACCCGGAAGCTTGGGATATTTTTAGCCGGGGATGTCTTTGCCACAAAACAGCCATGGAATGTGGCTTCTCTGACAACATGTTTGTATGATGAAATCGGTCGGATGAAGCAAGCAAACAATAGGTTGCGGATTGCGGGTTGCCGGATTACAATGGGGAAAAGAAAAAAATATGATAAA